AATCAAGGGTTCCAGACTCTTGACCTATAAGGCAAACTCAACATGTGAATGTGGTGGATTTGATCCACCCAATAGATGAAGATATTAGGAACTACCATACTGCCATTTGAATTTCTGAGTTTCTCTTTCTAAGTCAATGGATTTTCAGTGTTGGGCCAGAATTACACATGGCTAGGATCTGATGGAACAAGATATTTGGAAGCCCCATTGGTCTGTTTCTCATGCTCATCCAGTTTTCCTACCCGCTTTTTCCAGACATGAATACATGACCCTCAGATTAAGTTGATATGGGTAGTAGTAGCGGAGGTGGTGTACACACGATTATGAATTAAAGATTCAACATGACCTATCAAATAGATTCAACTCATATGAGTGAAAACCCTATGATTTGTATTAATTCATTCCTCTAACATCCATCAACACACCACTGAGAGTAAAGCATTCTTGTAAAGATAAACAAAACAGATTCCTGATTATAAATACAATGAAAGGAGAAATTAACGTATCTGCAGAACTGTATGCTCATCCCAAGTAGTTTATCCCTATTTCTGTTCTCCTGAGTTTATTATTCCCCCAAACTATGACAGAAAAGGCATTCATTTTTTAAAAGAAGATTTATTTTTGATTAAGTGATTTCGTGATGTAACATGGTTTTAAACAAAAATAGAGATCAGTATGAAAATAAAACAAATTGTACACATTAAAATATCTTTCTGTCAAAGCATTTCATAATCATAAAAAATACAACACAAGAGTTGGGGGCCCAGGTGAGGATAAGAATACAGACTTCCCAGAAAATGAACAATTGGTCCACAATTCAGTCCTACGCCTCATGTAATGCCACTCACGAACCATTTCTAGGGTGGCCACCAACAACCTTTATTATGTGCCTTTAAAAAATGTAAATGGAAGGTAGAATGAGGGCTGTATAATCTTAATTCTAATATCAAATACCTCCCATTATTATTCTCTATTAAAAGTTACACTGAATAAATACAAAGCTTAAATCCACTCAACAAAGCAGACATGTAACTGTTCACTGTGGTCTATGGTATAGTGGACGTAATGAGTGGAGTTGGTGAAGAGGAAAGGCCTAAAAAATACACCACCTGTGCTCTACTGAAATTTCAGAAATAAAACGTTTTTTACAGAGCCTTGATATTAAAAAGTGAGCATTATTATAAAATTAGATTAATACTTTCAGTAAGAGGCAAGAGAGATGCATGTATTTTTATTTATTTATTTTGGAATGCCTGCATCCCTGTTATAAAAACATGTAATCTTATGCACTTTCCAATGTGCTAACAGCCCCCATATTTTACTTATGATATTACATAAAGAAAAATAAGCTGTAATTATACATCTTAGGGCATTAAGGTCCCAACAGAACATTCTGTTCTGTGTGTTTCCTGGTTCACCTTTCCAAGGTGTTTCTTGAACATTACCCATCCCTTTTTTTACAGAAGGTGATAATTACCAGAATTTACTGATGATTTCTTACCCACACGAGTAATAGCTGATTCAGTTTGAATCATACAACATACCTATCAACACTCCTCAGGGTTGTAATATCTTAAAAGGAAATTAGATTTGAAGATATCACCTGCCCAAGGCCACCAGACATATAAATCATATACAGCGAGAGCCATCCTGTTCTGTTGAGCTATTCAGTCATGAAATCTGAATAAAGTACCTTGAACATCAAAACCGAAGCAAATGTATCTTCTTCAACAGGAAACACTCATTAGGTCTCCTTTTGCAATTTAGTAACCTCACACTTAGGATTTTGCTTCCCAGATTAACAGGGAATGTTTAAATCAACATTAGATAGCTGGTTTGAGAATGAGAACATCCCAAGAGTTATGTGAACATATGCTGTAAAAACAAATTAAGCATAATTAAATAAAAGCACTTTTTTTCACAGATAGTGTCCGATAGTACTAACAATAACTTTCGAGTTAAAACAAAACTGTAATAATTTAATGCGAACTGTTGAACTTCCTGATAAAGCTATGGTTAGCCTTAATACTTTGGGACTAAATGACATTTTGCAATACAGGAAATACTAGCCTACTGAAATCATACAACAAGGGTATTTCCCACCAGGTAGATGGCCAATCAGCGCCTTCACTAAACATGAAAGCATTGTTCTCAAAACTCAGAAACCAAAATGGAACACATTCCTACCCCCCCATCCCCCCCGCTAGCATGCTCTGAGTCTGATGATGTTTGTACCATTGTCTCATTGTTCCCGTGGCTATTCTATGATCTTCAATGTGTCTTTACTCCTAACCTTGATGGCCCTGACAGAGCCAAAAACATTCATTATATTCATAATGCCGGTTCCTTGGAATGCACTTGTTGCTCCTGAATCTTGACAGTGGTCAGATGTAGATCAGCAGGGTGGTGAAGCCTCCAGCTCTCTCTCCTCTACTTTTTATCTTTAGTCGCCCTGTTAATGGTAGTGGTTGACCTTGAGTGACAGCTCAGAAACCTCTGCTGTCTCTGGTATTCCTTTGCTTCTGTGCCAAACTATCTGAAAATGCAACAGAACTAACTACAAAGCCAATAAATTCTTCTGATTAGAATTTGCTGCCAAGGGACATTCTCATTCATTTAAAGTCAAGTCACACGGAAGTAGGATGGCTGATTGAGGATGCCACTCATCAACAGCTGACCTGAATCGCAACTGTACCCGGATGTGTGTGTGTGTGTGTGTGTGTGTGTGTGTGTGTGTGTGTGTGTGT